CCGCGTGGGCGAGGTGAGAGCCTGGCCTGGCGGGACGGGGCAGCCTCCTAACTGGTGTCCATCAGCTCTTCCCTTGTGAACCGCACACTGTGCGATGCCCACGTGAAGAAGGGCCGGGCCTTCCGTGTGATTGTGGTGGACAGCCGGCCGCGGCTAGAAGGCCGGGAGACGCTGCGTCGGCTGGTGCGTAAGGGCATTCACTGCACCTATGTGATGATCAACGCCATTTCTTACGTGCTGCCTGAGGTGAGGAGCAGAGCGGGGCTGTGCCAAGGGCGGTGGTGGGCATGGGGGAGGCTGCAGCATGATAAAATGTGCTAACAGATCCCTGCGCTTCCCTAACAGGTGTCCAAAGTGCTGCTGGGAGCCCATGCACTCCTGGCCAATGGCTCTGTCATGTCCCGGGTGGGTACGTCCCAGATAGCGCTGGTCTCCAAGGCCTACAACGTGCCTGTCCTGGTGTGCTGCGAGACCTACAAGTTCTGCGAGCGAGTGCAGACGGACTCTTTTGTCTCCAATGAGCTGGGTAAAGCTTCTGTCCCCTTCCTCTCACCTGGGACCTGCTCCCTCTTCCCGCTGCTAGCCAGGACGGACTGATCTGCCCTGCCATTCCCCTTCCTGGCTGAGGGGCCACCACTCTCAGGAAGGGTGGCCATTGGGCCTGGCAGGCAGCAGGGCAGGATGGACAGGTGCTGTCCCTCTCCCTGATCCTGCTGGCTGCTCCTCTCTCCGCAGATGACCCCGATGACCTGATCGTGCTCCGGAAGGGCCAGGCCCAGCTGGGTGGCTGGGCAGAGAACAAGTCCTTGCGCCTCCTCAACCTGGTCTATGACGTGACACCGCCTGACCTGGTGGATCTGGTCATCACGGACTTGGGCATGATCCCCTGCACCTCGGTGCCTGTCGTCCTGCGTGTCAAGAATGTGGATCAGTAGTAGGGGCAGCTGCACGGACACTAATAAACCAGGCGCCACGATACACCTTGTTTGCCTTCTGTGGTATGGCAGGAGCCCTGGCGCCCCGTGTCACCACAGGCTCAGCTCTGTGCTTTCCTTGGGCATGCTAGCACTTCTGCCCGGCCCCTCTTCTCCCACTCCAGGCTGCAGCAGGGAAGGACCTTCCCTGTCCCTGGGCGGCTCCTCCGGGGCCTGGGGGAAATGGTGATGCTATGATGACAGCCCCTGGCTCACGCCTCCTCTGGCTGTGGTTCTGGCAGCCAGTTGAGCTGGGCTTGTGCAAGAGAGCCCAGCACCTCTGACCCTGCAGCACCCTTGGTGTGCCAGGGCTGCTCCTGGCATGAGCTGCTCCTGCAAGATGGGGCTGGTGCAGGGTCCAGCCTGAGCAGAGGCTGGGGGCTCTGGCACGGGGAAGGGGGTGTCCTCCCTTGTTCTGCAGCGTTCCCATCCCTTTCTGCTGTGGTAAAATTGGTGGTCATCTCGGCTCCTGGCAGCGATTGCTGAGGGCTGTCTGTGCTTCCCCCCTGGAGCCTGCCACTGCCAGTGCCCTCCATGTTCATAGCTCCAGGGGGGAACAGGGAAGAGATGGCAGGGTGCCTGTTATTCTGGCCTCTGCCCAGAAAGGGGTGTCTTTATACACTGGTCTCGCCTGTCATTGCTGCTGTGTGCAGCGCTGAGGCCGGCAGGAGGGAGCCCTGGCCCTGGCCTGGAGCAGGGTGAGGAAGGCTAGGCAATAACAGGGTTCGAGGGCTGGCGCTGAGCCACGGATGGAGGCAGAGCGGGTCCCTGTCTCTCCTATGACTAGCTGTGCTGCCAGTTGCTGCCCCCCCGGGTGTGTTAGGAGACACG